TGAATCACTGTTTACAGCATTGATTTATATGGCGTTCAGCCGTACGCCGTAAACTACTTTTTACGACATGCATTGCATGCCTTAAAAGTAAATTTTGTTGTAGGGGCCATGTCCTTTAAACTAATGTCACGTTCGAAGGTTATATATAAAACTTTTTTCTTTACATTTTAATCATCAATCTCAACATAGAATATCTGTGTATAGAGATCTAAATATAAATTTGGACTAGGCAGCCCAATGATTGCATATTATAAACATGTAAATTAAGGAGCAAAATATATTGTTGCATGTTTGGTAAAACTTCAGTTATAATAGCTTATGCTCAAACATAACTTTTATTCAATCATTTGTAAGGACAATAATTACTATTCTCTTTTTATCTACTCATTCATTGAGATAGCCTATGTCCTAGGTCAAGCTACATAAAGATACAAATTGTTCATTTGAGCCTTTTTTTTTTTTTTTTCCAGAAAAGCAATAAAATGTTGAAAGGTTATTGAGCCCAGTTATGTCAATTCGGTACATGTTGTATTGCCCCTCACACATTTTTAGAAAAGTCCCACCTAGTAAAAATACGAATCGTGTTAGGTCTATAGATGGCCAAGCCAGCCAATGGTGGGCTTGGTGGAGTGACATGCTTTTGCCCTCTATTTCTAAATTTTGATCATAACAAATATCAAAATAAAATAAATAAATAACTTAAAATATAAATGTAATTATGACTAGTATGTGATTAAATGTGGAAATGTGATCCGCAAATTGCATATTTGTGATTTTAACATTGTGTAATTATGACTAGTATGTGATTGTGATTATAAATTGTAATTTAATATGATCGTGACCTCATTAATTAAATTATAGATCATAATCAGATGTCCTAAATGTAAACACTTGATTTTTGAAAAAAATCTACAAATTTGTTATTTTTTTAAAAATGTATTTTGAAATATTTGTAGCTATGTAATGTACCCTAATATATTTTTTATCAGTACTTTCCCCGTGTTGTTATTTATTAGTGCATACAAATAGCCCACCCCAGTACATGATGTATATGTTAGTAAAAAAAAAAAAAAAAATTCATTTAAAGTTTGCTGTATAATAATTAAAAAGGAAAAAAAATCCAAATGCTAATTTTTCTGTTATTATTACTTCCTCCATCTCATAAAGATATGCTTGCTTTCCTTTCTCGACTGTCTTACATTTCAGAGAGTACAGTTGATTTCTTAATTTCTAATATTCATCTATTTAATGTGCCTTCCAGCAAGTTTTGGAGATTACATGAATTAAATCATCGAGTCTAGTGGGTTTTTTAGACTGGATCCTACTGTAAATTCTTATTGTCTATATTGGAAACTACTAGTTTGATTTCGGAGTTTTTACCCAATTGAAGGTTTTGACCGTTATCAAGTCTTGTGTTATTTACTGATTTAATTATTGGTTGACTAAACACCTAGAATAATTTAAAAGTGACTTGTTGTTTTAATTGATAAATTTAATTCCGCGTTATTCACCTATTAGGTGATTTTATGGTTGAACTAGTAACTCTCAAGTGGTATCAGAGCCTAATCGCGATCTTTGACCCAAAACTTTGTCTAGATGAGTCAATCGGTTTTTGATTCGGGATTTGAGTGTGATATGGAAATTCGGGAGGCTTATGAACAGTTATTTGAGGAGAATAACTCGAATTAGAAAAAGATAGCCTTGTAGCCAAATTTGAGGAGTCAACTAGATGTTTGAATGAATTAAGGGTGGAAAAATCGTCTTTAGATGTTAAGGTTAACTCTCTTACGAATGATCTTGAAAATCAAATGCCCAATTTTAAACTTTTTTCTAGCGGATCTAAGAAAATTGATAATATGATAGGTTTGAACAAACCAGCTGAGAATAAAATAGATTTTGACTAGAATGAAACAAATTCTCATACTAGTTCCTTTTCAAATAAGTTTGTACCTGCCTAAAAGTGTAAGGTTCAAAACTTGAAACTTAAGAGTTTTTCCTAGGTTCATAATTGATTTTCAGGTTAGTGTGCCATCTTCTGCAACACTGAAAAATGGAAGATACTCCCTAAGAATAGACTTTCTTTCTCAAGTATGATTGTATGAATAATTAATCAATAGTGTAAGATACACGAATTTTAAAGCAGATATCTGCACGTTAATATGCTTGATGTGTAATACAAATGATACATTTTCTGAACAATGTTCAGTTTTTTATCGTACTAATTTTATTACCATGATGAGGTTATAACTAAATAAAAGTGTATTTACAAAAAATATTGTTTCGACGTAGTTATCTTTAGTAAACGTCTCTCTCTCTCTCTACCAATAATTATTATCATGCGGAATCAAATTCTTTAAGGATGGACGCGAAAAAAAATTATATCTTATTAAAATGTATAGTTTGTTCTTATTTATAGCTGGTCCAAGTTGGGACTAATAAACTGTTTTGTTTGGATTAAAATCTAATTAAGATTTTAAGTCAAAGTCAACAATTAATTTTAACCATATATTTCATGGGACCCACAATTTTTCAACCACACATATTTTATCAAAATTTACTAAAAACATGATTATAATCTCTACCACACATGGTTAAATCTTTTTATAATTATATAGAGGTTATTCCTATATATATAGTCTATTTTTTCTAGTTTAGCTTACATACATCCCATTTGAGACCCATTATTTAAAACTCATTTTCCTGCAAACATTATTCCAATAAAATAATTTTGCATGTAAAGTCAAAACTTTTTGTGATTTATTAACGACATATTCTTTAAAAAAATCAGTTTTTAACAAAATCTATTCTTAAAAAATGGAGCTCAACAAAAATAAAAAAATAGAAGTGAAAAAAATAAAAATAAAAAAATAGTTCTTTTGATTAGTAAATATGAAGAGATTATCTTACGAGGTAAAATTCTTGACCATGAGATAGAAAATCTGAAGCCATTGAGTCCTATAAATTCCATCAGCTTTACGTCGTCCTGCATGTTAGCATAATTAATCATATTCAATGAGTGCATGGGGGTGGATGGTGGTAGTCGTCGTCGTCGTCGTCGTTGTGGTGTACCTTATAACGGTGATAAAAGTCATTTGCTAAATCCCCGTTGCTTTGATCTAAAATTTTACCTGCACGACAATTATATGTCATTGCTATTAGTTCTAGTCTATTATAAGATTAAATATCATGAAGATCAATTTGTTTATTTTTTTTTCCTTCGAAGTAGAGATTCTTCTCGTCCATCTAAGGCATGTATTTACTGTTGGAATTGGTTAAGTATAAAATCATGAAACAGTGACTTTCGTGTCAACTTTGATCAAATATTCGAACTTGATCCGATAGTCAAATTATAAAAATAAGTAAACTAATTTGGAATTGGTTAAGTATAAAATCATAAAAAAGTGACTTTTGTGTCAACTTCAACCAAATAATTGGACTTGACCCGATACTCAAATTATAAAAATAAATAGACTAAATTGTTCTACTTGTTTAGTAGATTATCGTAGTATATTTGGAATCTCCATTCAAATTCCTGGTGAATGAGAAATTACGGTATAAAGTTAGAAGAAAAGAGAGGAAACTGGCTGGAAATTTATCGAACTCCGTCGTTCGCTTAGCGTTCAAGCGACAAGTCAGCGACGAACGAACGACGGAGTCTCTGTTTCTAACGTTTGAGCGACGCAAGGGCGACATGCTAGCGATAGCAAAAGCTACGACTCTTGGCAAAGGTTGCTGAATTTGGGGCGCGACATTTCACTCACAACATTTCCTTCTCTATAAATTAGACCATTGGAATGTCCATTTGTTGACCCCAATGATATGCAATTATAGCATAACATTAAATTCATCTTTTCCTAGCCAAAATTCGACAATGAAGCTGTTTTTTCCATTTTTCATTTGAATGAGTACAAAAACCAATTTTCGGTTCATTGTTATTGTGTTTTGAAGTGCTACTAACATAAGAAAATTGACTTTATATCTTGGGAGTCGATTGCCATCATCCGTAGGCACCGTTGTGGGGCAAATTTGATTTAAGGACAATTTAACTATTGCCTCGACTTTGCATACATTTTGTTTTTGGTGTTATTTTGACATTCTTTTCATTGGTATTTTCACTCATATCCTTACCGTTATGCTGTCAAAATTTTGGTAAGGTTGGTAAGTTATTTTTTTGGTTTAAAATCATCACTCAAATCAATCATCTCTTTCAACAATCTTAAGTCGGATTTCTCATTTGAGTGATAGCTTTATTGTTGTATTGTATTCAATTAAACTGATTTCGCTTTGGTTTAACCTCTTCTACTCCTTCTCAAATTTGTTTTTAATTTATCTTATATTTTGTGTAAATAAAAATAAATATAGTTAACAATACTGATACTTCTTTTAATGATACTTCGAATATGGGAACTTCGGAAGGAATGTTACCAACCCTAGCTCCTATTGTTGTGATTCCTCCGGTTGCTATTGCCCATCCCATCATTCATACTAATTCCATTCCACATGGAGAGAAACCAGAGAAGTTTAGTGGGGTTGATTTCAAAAGATGGCAACAGAAATTTTTTTCCTATCTCAAGACCCTAAACTTGGCAAAACTCTTAAAAGAAGATGCTACCACCGAGGGAAAAAATAATAAGGTATCATTGATTGCATTGGATGTTTGGAAACATTTCGACTTCCTATGTAAAAAACTACATTTTGAATGGATTGGACAACACATTTAATGTGTATAGTTCCATGAAATCTGTAAAAGAAATATGGGAATCCTTGGAAAAGAAATACAAGACTGAAGACGCCGGAACTAAGAAGTTCCTTGTCATTTTGACTAAGTATACCACCTTATTTTTTCCAAGAAATTCATTTACAGACAAAAAGAACGCGTCACGAAATAGACTTGGTCAACGGACTCGGTGTTGGCAAGTAAAATCTTGATTGTGTCCTCTTCCTTTCAGAATTTAAATGCTCAATTGTGTCATCAAGTTTTGTTTGTTCTTGATATGGAAATGGCCTTTCCAGCTCTACAGGTTAATTCATTCTTGATCGTATCAGTGTTTCTTCTCTTCTCAGCCATTTTCGCTGCAGGCCAATCCGAGTGCAAATTAAAGTTGGGCTCTTCGTTAACTACTGAAGACACTAGCCCGTGGAGCTCGCCTTCAGGTGAGTTTTTGGTTTCTTATACAATCGTGTTATATCTTTCTTGCCGGTGGCCTGAACGGAAACGTCTCGTACCTTTGAGCCACTCCCACGCCCATTACTTGGAGCCATCATGACCGCCTATTGGCATTAGCGTGTTGGATCAAGCTTGCGTGTGCACGAGTGGGCCCGGCATCTGTTGATAACATTTTTTGGGGTCAACAATACTAGTTATTAATAGAACTTGCATGAAAGAAAGTATAAATGAAACAAGGAAAGAAATATAGTATCATGTTCGATTGATTGTTCTCTCAAAAAAATTCCGCTTCGTTTGTGCATTTTCTAACTTGAGAAACTCGACAGCAGCAGTTGAAATGTCTTCCACATCCAATTGAAATTTCAACAGAAAGTGAAATCAAGCTTTTTTTTTTTTTTTTAATAAATTCATAGTCAACAAGGAAGACAATTATTTAGACTTGACAAATATTAATGAATACTTTGACAGTTCAATTAATTTTTTCCAAAACATGGCTATTGTCTATGAATGGATTGACTAAGTATACCACCTTATTTTTTCCAAGAAATTCATTTACAGACAAAAAAAGAACACGTCACGAAATAGACTTAGTCAACGGACTCGGTGTTGGCAAGTAAAATCTTGATTGTGTCCTCTTCCTTTCAGAATTTAAATGCTCAATTGTGTCATCAAGGTTTGTTTGTTCTTGATATGGAAATGGCCTTTCCAGCTCTACAGGTTAATTCATTCTTGATCGTATCAGTGTTTCTTCTCTTCTCAGCCATTTTCGCTGCAGGCCAATCCGAGTGCAAATTAAACTTGGGCTCTTCGTTAACTACTGAATACACTAGCCTGTGGAGCTCGCCTTCAGGTGAGTTTGCCTTTGGATTTAGGCGTCTTCAGAGATCTCCGTCTGACAATGAAGATCTCTTCTTGTTAGCCATTTGGTTCAATAAAATACCGGAACAAACTATTGTTTGGTCCAAAAACGAGTTTTCAGTACCTCAAGGATCAAAAGTCGAGCTGACAAATAAAGGGAAACTCATTCTCTACAGTTCTCGAGGAATGGAAATATGGACGGCTCCAACTATCGGTGGATCCACCTCCACCTGTGCTACCATGCTTGATTCTGGGAACTTTGTGTTAACAAATGGAGATTCTAATTACATATGGGAGAGCTTTAAAGAGCCTACTGATACAATATTGCCTGGCCAGATCATAAACATGGGTACAAATCTTTATGCGAGCCAATCTGAGAAGAATTATACAAAAGGAAAATTTCGGCTCAGTATGCAAGAAGATGGAAATCTTGTGCTTTACCCTATATTTTGGCCAACTGAAGATGCAGGTAATGCTTATTGGGCTAGTAATACTGTGCGCTTGAATCCTGATGTTCAACTTGTGTTCGACGTGGCTGGTTATCTCTACTTAAAAGACGAGAAGGAAAACATTGGAAACATTGGAAACATCACGAAAAAAGACATGGGTTTACCACAGGATTTTTACCACATGGCAAGGATTGATTCTGATGGAGTTTTCAGAGCCTACAACCATCCAAGAAAGAATTATGCTGCTGATGCCAAAGGTTGCACATCGGCTTGGTCTACTGTACAAAGCATACCAGAAGATATGTGCAAAGCAGTCTTGGGAGGTCTTGGGAGCGGGGCTTGTGGATTTAATAGCTATTGTGTGAACTCAAATGGAAAGCCACAATGTCTCTGCCCGGAAGGATACTCTCCCGTTGACTCATTTGATATGTTGAAAGGCTGCAAGCCAAATTTTCAATTGCCTAGTTGCCGCCAAAATGGATGGGAATTGAACATGGAGTTTATAGAGTTCAAGGAATTGAATGACACTGACTGGCCCTTAACTGATTATGAACTACAGACTGGATCACAAGTAGATAAGGATATGTGTAAAGAATTCTGCCTCCGGGACTGTTTTTGTGCAGCTGCTATATATGATAAGAACAATTGTTGGAAGAAAAAGTTCCCCCTTTCAAATGGAAGACAATCCAGAGGTTTGAACAGAACTGCCCTCATTAAGGTGCCAAAAGGCAACATGACAGACTTTTGTTTCAAAAGAAAAGATCAGTCTACTTTAGTTCTTGTTGGATCACTACTTCTTGGCAGTTCTGTGTTCCTAAATTTTCTTCTGCTGTTAACTATAATAGTTGCTGTTTTCTTTGTATATCACAAGAAGATGCTGAATTTACAGTTTGATTCAACTACATTTGGGTTGAGAAGTTACACGTACAAAGAACTCATGGAGGCAACTGGAGGCTTCAAGCAGCAACTAGGCCGGGGAGCTTTTGGAACGGTCTATAAAGGTGTCACTCCATCAATTCCGAAGAGATATATCGCTGTTAAGATGCTGAATAAGGTTGAACCAGATGGCGAAAAAGCATTCAAAACTGAAGTAAATGCAATTGGACGGACTCACCACAAGAATTTAGTCACTTTACTAGGTTATTGTGATGAAGGAGAAAACCGTCTTTTGGTTTATGAATACATGAGTAATGGATCTTTGGCTTCCCTTCTCTTTGGGATATCCAGACCTCATTGGAACCAACGGATGCAGATCGTATGTGGTATTGCAAGAGGTCTGATGTACTTACACGAAGAATGCAGCACGCAGATAATCCACTGTGATGTGAAGCCTCAAAACATACTTTTGGACGAGTTCTTGACGCCTAAGATTTCTGACTTTGGATTAGCGAAGCTTTTGTTGGCCGAGCAAAGTCAAGCAGCACGAACAAACATTAGAGGGACAGTAGGTTACTTCGCCCCCGAGTGGTTTAGGAAAGCATCTATCACTGTGAAAGTCGATATTTATAGCTTTGGAGTGATGTTACTCGAGATTATTTGCTGCAAGTCAAGTGTTGTATTTGCAATGGGAGAAGAAGAGGAGGCTCTAATCGATTGGGCCTACGACTGCTACAGCAAAAAGAAACTAAACAAAATGGTGGAAAATGATGAGGAAGCAATGAATGACATGAAAAGTGTAGAAAGGCTAGTGATGGTGGCAATTTGGTGCATTCAAGAGGATCCTTCAATAAGGCCTCCCATGAGAAGAATTACTCAGATGCTTGAAGGAGTTGCTGAAGTTCCCGTCCCTCCTCGCCCTTCAGTATTTAGTTCAATTTGAATTATCAGTCTTGCTTTCATATGAATGATAATATATATTTTCTTTGTTGGTTATACAGTAAGGCTTGACTGGAATTTTGCTTGCAAAGTTTAAGCAAAGCAAGCATCTTCTTTGAATTCTATGTTAAATTTTACTCTATATAGTAGCCTTAATGCTTTATTAGTTTTCAGCAACGAATTTAGATCACATGCGCAAAAATGGCATCTTTTATATGCTCGACTAAACAAATTAAGGAAGAGAGCTGCGTGACTAAATTTGTCAGCTTGCGTTTGTCATCCTCTTCAATCCATCTTACCAAGAGTTATAGAAAAAAGAGTAATTTTTTATTGCTCCACAGAATATCTGGTGACTGAAAATTTATTGGAAAAAGGGATTTTGTATGATCTTCTCATTTGAATGAAGATGAGATTTCAAATGAGTACAAAAATGATAGGATTTACCAAGTGTGTTCTGAACAATTATGTTTCCGAAATGATTAATCTAATCAATATCCTATTTTTCTTGTAAATTGGCAGTGAATGATGAGGCGGTTTTGTATAATAGTTCATTAACTAGGATATTCAAGTTTATAATAGTGAACTTGTATTATAAACTTGAATGATTGTCATATATATTCTTGATTGATGCTAATTTGATCAGGGATGAATAACTGATGCCTGTTTATTAAAGCAACAAGGTGTTTGCGAAGCAATTAAAAGCACTGTGTACGTGAACCAATGGAAGAGAAATAGTACAACAGTGGTTTTGAAATTATAATTTTCCTGATCTTTTATTGGAAATCGATTCATTTTATTACTTTCTTAAAAATGAACAGAAACATTAGAAATACCTACCACTCATCTCATTTGAAAATGCAAATTAACAAGTTAGTTTCAATCACCATGTAGCAGCTATTTTAAAAGCAAATATATGTATGCATTTTTCTCCATGATTTTGATGCCACGGAATAATGTCTCATTCCTAATATCCAGAAGTTACAGAAGCTTAGATTATCAGATGTCGATTAGTAAGAACAGTTTGTTGCTTCCTATGAGCTATATCGAGTCAAATCACCTGCTACTGTCACTACGATGAGAGTTTAGGTATAATCATCTTACATATACCGAAAGGTCTTTTTTGATGTACACTCGTTGGCAAGAGATCACCTTTGATGTACATCAGTAAACTCGAAAAACATTCTTATTTGGCACATTGAAGTATATGTTTATTAAAGTTCCAAGATATGCAAAACTGAACTCGTGATCCTGATCTCTCAAGGCTTCATTATTTAAAGCTGATCCTTGTATTTGCGAAATTGTGGGTGACATTTCTAGTTCCTTTTTCCTTTCTTTGAGGAGAAGCACATCCTTCAAATTTTCAGGTATGTATGCTATGATGTCTTTCATGTTCACTACAAGACTCCACCTATTGCTCACTGGTAAGGACTTCTGATGTTTGTCAGCAAGTATTTTTGTTTTCAAATAGATGTGTAACATTGTCGGCATGTTCTCAATTTTAGACTCGTGGGTTTGCCAAAAAAAAGTTCTTCTGTAAATCATTATCTACTTATATGCGACTGAATTTTTCAATTCATATGAAACATGTGCATTACAGGTAGTGATGGAATACAAATCTTTCTTCATAATAGATTGGGATTGTGATAGAACTGGACGCTATCCTTTGTCACCCTTCGGATTCTTCTCATTTTGACTTGTCTATTCGTTATTCTGCATTGCATTGTATGTGTTAGGTTTTTGATGTAATTGGCAATTCTATGAATAAAAGGCACTAAATTTAATATGTTGTAAAAGTCAAGGAGTAAATTGTTAATAGTAGAATTTGAGTTGTATTAGGTTAGGACTAGATTTAGTGTGTTGTAAAAGTTAAGGAGTAAGTTGCATATAGTGTTATTTGAGTTGTATTAGGTTTAGGGTTCGAAAATGGAAAAGAAGGAAAAACGGCGCCGCAATTTCGCTAGATTGTCGCCATGACTTGGCTCAAGCGGCAGAAACAGTAACATTGTCGCTAGCCTATCGCCAGAACTTCACTCGAACGACAGTGTTTCTCGAAAAATTTTAATTCGTATTTTAAGGCTTTTTGTCCGACTCATTCAACCCTAAAAACCTAAACTATAAATACCAAATAGTTGAACATTGATAAAACATTAGTTGCTTCATATTCTCTCCATCCATAGCTTTCAACCTGCATTGATTGGTTTGTTATTAGCATTGAAAACATCAAAACCACTTAATCCAAATACAAAATTCCTACTTCCTACATATCTTTCAGAGTGCTGAAGATCAAGGGAAGGTGACTAGAGTTCCAGTTGTTGGAGAACACGGAGTTCTTCGTTGATCCACAAGAGATAGACGAATTCATAAAGTCGGGAGTTGCTACAGGAGCACGCAATCCAGGAGGGCTTTGAAAACTGCAGCTGAGAGTTGGTGATGAAGCATGCAATCCAGGAGAACTATGAGAATTGCAATCAGGAGGTCAGTAAGTACAAGTGGAAGTCGTTCATAATTCGTTTATAGTAACCCAGTTGGGGTTTCTCCGTGATCATTCCTTGTGTTTGTTTATTGCTTCATAACTGCGGTATTTCAATATATGAAAAATTGAACTGTTTGATTAATTATCTAGATATAATTAAAAGTGATTTGTTGCTAATTAATTATTAATTTTTAATTCTGCATAATAACCTATTCACCCCATCTAGGTGTAGTTTGGGTCGAACCTCGTTATTTTAATTGGTATTAGAGACTGATTTTGATTCATGGCCCTTTAATAATTCTAGATGAGTCAGTCATTATCTGTGCCTCCATTTTTCGACGGAAGCAACTATACTTATTGGAAAGTTCAAATGAGAGATTTCCTTAAAGTATTGGATGAACGTATTTGGATAATCGTTCAAACTGGGTGGACTGGGACTTCAACCACTATTGATGGTGTAGTTACATCTACTGATATTTCACTGTGGACTAAAGATGACTTAGTCGAGTGTAACTGGAACAGTAAGGGTCTTCATGCCCAGTTCATGGCTGTGTCTGCTGAAAATTTTAGGAGAATATCGATGTGTGAAACTGCTAAAGAACTTTTGGATATCTTAGAGACCACACATGAGGGAACTAAAACCGTTAAGAACTCTAAATTGCAGATGTTGACCTCTAAATTTGAAGAAATTAGAATGAAAGACGATGAATCGTTTGATGAATTCTATATGAACCTTAATAATATAGTAAATTTGAGTTTCAACCTAGGTGAGAAAATCCTCGAGTCTAAAATTGTTAGAAAAGTCCTTAGATCCCTACCTAAAAGGTTTAGACCTAAGATCACCGCGATTGAAGAAAGTAAGGACTTATATGCAGTTAAGATAGAGAAACTCATAGGATCCCTCCAAACCTATGAACTCACCATATCTCAACCGAAAAATGTTAAATCTATAGTCATGAACACTATTAGAAAAGAAGAAAGTGAGTCGACTGATGCTGAGACCCTTCAGGACGACGAAATAACTTATTTCATTAAAAAATATCACAAGGTGATTAGGAATAGGAGAAATGAATATATTACTTGTACATAATGTCGTGTCCATAACGGTGTCCACCCCCTCACATGAAGGGGGATCCACTTTGGATATATTATATTTTATTCGAAGTGGGTTTCCCTTCATGTGAGGGGGTGGACACCGTTATGGACACCTCATTATATACATGTAGCATCACCCTAGGAGAAAACCTCACGATAGGAAAACTGATGACTCTAGTAAATTTTAGAAAGATAAGCGTGAGAATAATAACTCTAGAACTTTTAATAAGAAAACCCAGTCAGTTAGATGTCATAAATGTCAGGGTTTTGATCACTATAGGAATGAATGTCATAAATTGAAGAAGAATTTGAATAAAGGAAGGCGTAAGGCATTAGCAGTGACCTTGAGTGATGATGAATCAGATTCAAGTGTACAGAGTAATACCTCTGGTGGTGAAGATGAACAAAATTTTATGGTCTTCACGTCTATAGTTTAGATTGAATCCGATAAAGAAAGTGAAAAGGTTGAGAGTGAAGAACGTAGTGAGAAATCTGACGAAGACTCTGAGGATGAAACCGACATTCATGGGTCCTATCGAGAGTTATTTAAACAGAGTCTTAAAATCAAAAAGGTCAATAAAGTCGTACTGCAAAAGGTTAATGAACTTGAAAGAGGGAGAGAGAAACTCATAGGTAACATTCAGGACTCTACCAAAAATCTGAATGAGATGAAATTTGTTAACGAGAACTTAGAAACCAAAGTTAAATCCTTAACAAGTGATCTTGAAAAATCTAACACACAACTTCGTTCATTTATGAGTGGTACGCGGAAACTCGATAATCTGTTGGGGATGAACAAGCCTGTTGGAAATAGGCATGGTTTGGGTTACATTCAAAATGGTAATACTATTGCAGTATATCCCGATAGATGTTATTCTTGTTACTGGAGCATATGTATCAAAGTAATCAAGGCCTTCTCGTTGTCTGTAACTTTTTATCGATAATTTGGACATATACTTCTCGATCGTTCCCTCCACTTTCATCTTTCTTTTAAAAATCTATTTGTAGCCTAATAGTTTACTTCCTAGAGGAAAATCCACTAGCTCCTATAGCATCTTTGCATTGAGGTTCTTCTGAAGAGTTCACAATTTTTTGAAAGCTTTGAGATTCACTTTCCAGCATATAGGTAGGAAAATTAGGACCATAAGGGTTTTTTTGTTCCTTTCTCTTTTGCTACGTTTTGATTCAACCTCAATATTCAACCTCAATTTACTCTTCTACTTTTTGGTCCTGACTGTTTCCAACCATAATTTCATGTGTCCATTTAGAAGAGTTCGCTTCCTCTTTGAATCTGTAGGAATATACATGTTCAAAGAATTAAGCATTTCTAAATTCTATTATCGTGTTTTGTATATGTCTAGAATTTTAGACTTATGTACAAGAAATTGATAAATGCTACTATTATGTGAATAGACAATGAAGAGGGGTTTTGGGCA